AGCAACAGTTTTTATCAAGAAAACATCACGGAGAAAATTACTCCTGCCTACAATTTTTTCAAAAACATTGCTTGTGATTTTGGGTGTATTACGACTTAATTTCTAACAATGCCATCTTGCCTGATAAGGGAAGGTGAAAAGAGTTCGTCGGAAAATAACATATCTTGAAACTGAAATAATTATCAAATTAAAGAAGACTTATCATATTGCTTAAATTTATGGCTTCATCATTAATTTCATCATAAATCCAGATTCAAATAGATTGTGGAAACATACAAAAACCTGGATTAACTATGGTGAAGCCCCCGTCTACAATCAGATTATGCCCACTAACATACTTGGACTCATCACTCCCCAGAAAAAGAGCAGCCTCAGCAATGTCTTCTGCTTTCAGAACTGCTTCTCTCAGATTAGAGTAAAAACGATTTACTTCATTATCATCCAGCTTAAAGAAATCCTTCACCAGTGGGGTCAAAACAACGTAGGGCGACACGCAATTTACACGGATGCCATGCTGCCCTAACTCCACAGCTGTGTTCCTCATTAACCCTATCACACCATGCTTTGAACTTGTGTAGGCATGGGATGCAACACCTCCAATTGTTCCGCAAACGCTAGCGGTTGAGATTATGCTACCTCGCCGAGCAGGGATCATTACGCGGGCTGCGTGCTTAGTGCCTAAGAATGCGCCCACTATATTGACACTAAGGACCTTCTCAAATTCAGCCTTGTCGTTGTCAAGTATGTTTGGTTTTGGCGTGTCTGCTGCTCCTGCATTATTGAACATGATGTCCAGCTTTCCATGCTTAGAAACAGCTGTGTTAACTGCATTTTCAACATCTTTCTCTTGAGTAACATCACAGTGGACGAATGAGGCTGATTCATTCTTCAATTCTTCGCAAACAAAGTGGCCTAGTTCATCTTGAACGTCTGCAATCACCACTTTGGCTCCATGTTTGGCGAACAGTCTAGCAGCGGACTCTCCTATGCCACTAGACCCTCCAGTGATTAATGCCACCTTGCCTTCTAGCCTACAACACCAGCAAAAAGCTTTCGTTAGATCACCTGCAAGAGACTAGCATGGAAGCTCTAGCTACGCAAATTAGACATCAATTTTTTGTTCTTTTAACTTCTCACCATGTTGGTTTTTCCCGAACCGGTTTCAATTCATAAATAAAATCGAACATAGTGAGAATTTAGGGGAAAACGAACATATATTTTTAACATGACAACAGTTAACAAAAACCGAGGAAGGGAAGCCATGATAGTGCTCAAATGCCATGAACTAAAGAATAATCTACTCAAAGAAAGCAAATTGAAAATCAATTACCTTCTTAGGGCTGCTGAGACAAGGGAAACACTACCCATGAATGAGTATCAGCTCCCCTGGCAGCCTCTGTCTGTATTTTCCCAGCACATGATACTTCCCTAATATAGCCATCATCAAGGCACCTATCGCTCAAGCACCTGTCCACGTGGAAGGCACGTCATGCACACACAATATTTTTTTATTTCGAGCATCTACAATGAGAAGTGTTATATTAAAAAGTCAAATAAAAAATAACCTTTTAAATAATATAAATATAATTTTTTATTATATATATTTCAATAATAAAAAACTATTTAGAAAATCCAATTATATTTTAATATAATTATATAACTAATTTAGATTTATTTTATGTTTTAGAATTTTAGATATATTTAAAAATTTGATGAGTATTCATAGTAATAATTTAAATTCAAATAGTAATAATTAAAAAATCAAACAATAATAGTTTAAAGTTAAACAATAACAGTTTAAAGTTGAACAATAACTATTAAAAGTCAAAGTCATACAATAACAGTTGAAAAGTCAAATAATAATAGTTCAAAGTCAAATAATAACAGTTTAAAGTTATATAGTAATAATTAAAAATTGAATAGTAACAATTCAAAATTAAATAATAACAATAAACTTTCACGTGAATACTATAAATAAAAATATAAAAAAATTGAGTCATACAAACACTTGTATATTGAGATACCATTTGCCTCACGTGTTGGAGAAAGAAAATGAGTTATTAGCCAACTACTATAAAAATAATCATTGATCAACAATTATTTATTTTTATTTTTTTATAGAAAAATATAGAAAAAACTTTTCACATAATAAATAGCTAAAATAGCTATTTATTTGCTTCATATATTAAAGTGAAAAAATAAAAAATAACTAAAAATATAATTTTTAACATTTAGTTTTTCATTTAGCTATCTAGTTAAAGATGCTCTTAGAAGTTGAATAACTAAGGTAAAACACTCCGCTCTAGAAAAAAAGTTAGACTCAGAATGAAATCCAAGCTATTCATTAAAAAAAACTTATTTTAATATTAAAAAAACAGTTCATAACTCTCTCATTCAACCACTAAAGAAACATTATTCCATAAATAATTGTGATTTTAACACTCCATCACACCATGTTTAACATTAATGTCCGCCAACAAACAGGCCTCGTCGCATTGCTTGGAGGCTAGCTCAGCTTCAAGCATATTTACCACATGCAAGCTGACATTAGGAGTGGAATGAATCACCTTGATTAGACCATAATTGCTTAGCAGCCCGTCCTCGTTATTGTAAAGTGATAGTACAAAAATATTTCGTTTTCCATTTATGTTCTCTTTCTGTTGATTTGTGAACTCCTTATGTTCTCTTTCTGTTGATTTGTGAACTCTTGGTTTTTTTAGATTAACATGGGTGTCCGGGTTAGCTTGCGCGCACCACGACTAATTCCACGGGCCCTGAAGTTAACGACCATATAAGCCTCCAGTGGCTAACATATAAGCAACCAATGACTCGAACCTGAGACCACAGAGAAAGCAAACCCCTTGATTCCAAATCCTTACCACTTGGCTACCACCTAGATGATTGTGAACTCTTGGTTCCTTAATTGGCCTTTCCATGATCCTGTCTGTTTTGTTTTTTTTTTTTGTTTTTATGAAATTCCAATCTGTTTTGTTTAAAAAAATAAAAAATCTGAAGATTGTTTTTATCATTATTTTAAATTACTGTTGACTGAATATCTAAAATAATATAGTTTATAATAATTTGATAAACAGTAAAATACCGCGTAGGACACGATTCTTGAAGAGGCAGCCTCGGATTATAATTTTTTATGAAAAGGAAATGCCAACGTTATTTTTTTGATCTCAAGCAATCATGATTTTGTTCAAAATTAATTTATTTTCTGTCAAAGAACACGAGGTGATTGTCCTCCCTTGTTGTCTTTTCACCTAACATCACCTAACATCGATTGAGCCAAAAATATATTTATTTTAATGGGAGTCGTTGAGATTAGGTATATTCTAATTATACCTAAAATCTAATAATAAAACTTAGGTTTTTTTTTTTAGTTTTTTTTATGAACTTCATGCACAAAATTCAACATTAATAATAAAAATAAATATATTTTTAATTTAATAAAACAAAAGATATATGTATTTTAGTGAGAGTAGTTGAGATCAGGTATATTCTAATTATATCTAAAATTTAATAATAAAAGTTAGTTTTTTTTTTAGTTTTTTTATGAACTTCATGCACAAAATTCAACTTCAATAACAAAAATAAATAGATGTTTAACTTGAAAATTTATTAAATAATATTTTTTATTTTTAAAAAAATTATTTTTAACATCATCACATTAAAATAATCTGAAAATATTAAAAATATTAATTTTTAAAAATAATTTTAAAACACAAAAAAAAACATACCTAAATTTTAAAAAATTAAATTAAAATAAATTATATAGTTTAATTTAATTTAACATAAATAAATAAAATAATAAATAATAAATAATAAAATTGATATAAAAGAATTAATAAATATTTAAGTGTTCACTTTCAGAATACTACTATAAATTAAACTTTGTAACATATTTATTTTTGTGTTTTAAAAATATTTTTAAAAAAAATTATTTTTTTATTTTTTTTATTTAATATATTTTTAATATTTTTAAATTATTTTAATATACTCATATAAAAAAAATATTTTAAATAATAAAAAAAATATTAATATAAAAAAATTATTTAGAAAACTAACTCCAAAAGTTACCAACTTAACTAGTCTTTTGCGACTTCAGAAAGACCGCAAACTTTTCCTCACGGTTCCAGTTTTTAACACAAAGTCTCTGTTTTTTTTTTTTTTTTTTAATATACTATTACATACGAATGCTTGCTGCCCCTGTACATGGGCAATCCTTGTTTAATTTGCTTTTCCTTTTTTGCATTTTTCTTCAGTTTCTTCTTATGAATCTTAACATAATTAGACTCAGTCAATCACAGAACAAAAATAATGGGTCAATTGCGAACTCTTTGTATAGCATTGTAATTAATTTATTTCATTATATGTATAGATTAATTAATTAGACCCGGCTTTTGTTCTCAAAAATTGAGAAAATAGAAATGGGTTTCGGCAATTGAAAATTCTAATTAATATGCTGTCATTTTTAGATCATAAACTGATAGTATCTAGAGTTTAAAATGGCTCCAGAAAACGGAAAGGGAGTTGAATTTTATTTTATTTTATTTTTCCAAAATCAAAATGCCATTCACTATTAACTATGCTTGAAGTAGATAATTTTTATAATTTATTATTAAATGAAATTTTAATATATAATTTATATAAATTTTTAAATATGCCATTTAAAAAGTTTTTAAACTTAAAATTTACATAAATACATATTATTTTAAACTTATTTTCTATAATAAAATAAAATAATAAGATTAATATTCAATACTCTTATACCATCTCATAGTAATACACCGGATTTGGGATTATTACAACTTAATTTCTATCAATGCCATCTTGTTCTGACCATAAGTTTTGCTTGAAAGAGGTAGGTGGAAAGAGTTCGTTGAAAAGATGGGTTCCCTATTATATGATTGCTCCAACCAAGCCTCCTCTAGAGAAACCACAGGAAGAAAAATGTATGGCTCCATGTTTGGAAATAAGTTATCTTGAAACTGAAATAATCATCAAATTAAAGAAGACTTGTCTTATTGCTTAAATTTATGGCTTCATCATTAATTTCATCATAAATCCAGATTCAAATAGATTGTGGAAACATACAAAAACCTGGATTAACAATGGTGAAGCCCCCGTCTACAATCAGATTATGTCCACTAACATACTTGGACTCATCACTCCCCAGAAAAAGAGCAGCCTCAGCAACGTCTTCTGCTTTCAGAACTGCTTCTTTCAGATTAGAGTAAACACGATTTACTTTATTATCATCCAGCTTAAAGAAATCCTTCGCCAATGGGGTCGAAACAAGATAGGGCGACACGCAATTTACCCGGATGCCATGCTGCCCTAACTCCACAGCTGTGTTCCTCATTAACCCTATCACACCATGCTTTGAACTTGTGTAGGCATGGGATGCAACACCTCCAATTGTTCCGCAAACGCTAGCGGTTGAGATTATGCTACCTCGCCGAGCAGGGATCATTACGCGGGCTGCGTGCTTAGTGCCTAAGAAAGCGCCCACTATGTTAACACTAATGACCTTCTCAAATTCAGCCTTGTCGTTGTCAAGTATGTTTGGTTTTGGCGAGCCTACTACTCCTGCATTATTGAACATGATGTCCAGCTTTCCATGCTTAGAAACAGCTGTGTTAACAGCATTTTCAACATCTTTCTCTTGAGTAACATCACAGTGGACGAATGAAGCTGATTCATTCTTCAATTCTTCGCAAACAGAGTGGCCTAGTTCATCTTGAACGTCTGCAATCACCACTTTGGCTCCATGTTTGGCGAACAGTCTAGCAGCGGACTCTCCTATGCCACTAGACCCTCCAGTGATTAATGCCACCTTGCCTTCTAGCCTACAACACCAGCAAAAAGCTTTCGTTAGATCACCTGCAAGAGACTAGCATGGAAGCTCTCATCATGTTGGTTTTTGCCGAAACAGTTTCAATTCATAAATAAAATCGAACATAGTGAGAATTTAGGGGGAAACGAATATATATTTTTAACATGACAACAGTTAACAAAAACCAAGGAAGGGAAGCCATGATAGTGCTCAAATCCCATGAACTAAAGAATAATTTACACAAAGAAAGCAAATTGAAAATCAATTACCTTCTTAGGGCTGCCGAGACAAGTGAAACACTCCCCATGAATCAGTATCAGCTCCCCTGGTAGCCTCTTTTTGTATTTTCCTAGCACATGATACTGCCCTAATATAGCCATCATTAAGGCACCTATTGCAAAATCAGCTGTCCCCATGGAAGGTTCCCAGTAGTCCCACGTGGAGGTCACTAGATCATTAAATAGTTTTTTCGGCGGATTAATTCCGTTGGTACTGTCAGGCATGCAGGCCATCAGAAACATTTTTACTGATGAAATCCATCGATGAAATAATTTCATCTCTATTATTAATTATTAATGTTAACCACTGACGGACTATTCATCATGATTGTGGCATGAATAACAAATATTTAAAAATTCTCTATTAAATACTGACAGCTATATTCCATCGGTAATATTAAAGGTAAATACCAATGAAATATATCTGTTAGTAAAGCTGTCAGTATGTATTTAAAATATTTGAAAAAAATATTATTAATAGTAAAAAACCTAAATAACCAAATAAAATTGCATTAAATATAAAAAAAATATAAAAACAATGTTAACTAATATTCATCCAAATATTCATTACAAATTTAATATGTTTAAAAACAAAATTAAATTAGAATAGCGGTGGAGCTGGAGCTGGAGCAGGAGAAGGCTGGTTGTTCCCAGGACCGTATGACCAAGAAGGAGCTGCATATATATCATCACCCATCCTTGATCTCATTTCTATAACTATTTGACGAAGCTGATCATAATCCATCGAGAGTCATTCATATTGTTATTTCAAGGCCATGAACTCCTTAGACTGGGTGTTTGAAATTGATGAAGAGCTCCCAACGATTGAGACACTATGGGCTGACTACAAGTTTTTTGCCATAGTGTTGGAGAACTCGTAGACCTAATATTTATCTGGTCCACAAGACGATCTTACCTTCATCCACAAATCCGGATTGAAATCTGAATAGGTCGAAGGATCGTCCTCATATCTCTCCCTCGACATGCTATTATAGGTCTCTTGATTTTTTTTTAAAAAAATCATCATATTCAATTCAAGAAAATAATAAATTATGAAATAAAATGATTGAACAAACATACCACGAAGTGTTAAGCATGGTTGTCCATGAACTGCTACCCCCCTTTTGGCGGTCTTAATTCTGCACGTACGTCTCTATAAATAGCTATATTAGACTCGACTCACGTCTAAGAGACGTAGCCTGTAAGGAAAAAAAGGTTGCAAGTTAAATAAATTATAAGCAACAACAAATTAATTAACGATATATCTTATTTAAATTAATCTTAACATCCCCTTCGCATGTGTGCCAAATGAGACGGAGTCGACGATATGCGTGGTCATTAAACCATGAATTTGCTAGTTCCAGTTGTCGGCACCAAATTGTGAGCGTCGTGTGAACCACTCAGACGTCATGTGCTCAATATATATCATCCATATATCTCTCAAGATGAATGGTAGTTTGAATTCTCGCCAAACCGCTACCTCATTCCATCCTTGAAGACTATTATCCCTCGCATATCTTTTTTTTTGTGTCGTATCAAAAATCACGCAACCTACTTCTATAGTAATAAATTAGAATTCAGAACATAAAATTATAAAACAAAAATAAAAAGTATTTTTAATTTTACTAGTATGACCATAGACAAAAACATGAACTCTAGCCTCATACACATCCGTGGTGGCAAGTTATAAACCGTCAATATAACTGGCCAACAAGAATAAGGAGCAGTAAATTACCTGAATAGGTTAAATTTGTTTGTACTATCCACAGGTTAAAATAAAAATGGGCCAACACCGACCCAATATAAAGAAAATGGGCCAGCACCGACCTAAAAAATATAATTAGTCGATTACTGTGTTATGCACAGTAACCAGCTTATTATTTTCATTTACTGCATAATGTGCATTGCTCATGTTCTGCATGCAAATGAAAGCAAGGGGAGATGAAAAAGAGAAGGAAAAGAAGTAAGAAAAGGGAAGCAGGAGAAGTGACCTACAGCTACTCTTGATAATGCTGGCGGTGATGGAGGTGGTAGAATCCAGTTGCTGGTGGTGGTGGAGGTGGCTGTGTTGAAACGGTTGAGGGTTCCTCTTCTCTCCTTTTCTTCTGTCTCCGTTCGGTTTCTCCTTTGCCTCTACTGGTGGCAGAGCTGCTGCTATCAGTCACTAAAGGAAATTCTCATAGTAGCGACAAGGAAGGTGATGATGGGTGGAGACGATAATGATGGCGATTGCAATGGTCTTCCTCTTTTCTCTTCTCTTATCTTCTTTTCCCCTATTTTTTCTATTTTCACCTCGTTGCTTTTTCTTTTCTTCTTCATCCTCTTTCCTTTCTTTTGGTCTTTTTTTTTTCCTTTTTTGCTCTCTCTTTCTCTCCTCGTCTCTCCTGTATTTATAGACAAAAACCTGGGAGAGATATAGACAGGGCGGCCACTATGTAGCCGCTCCACGACTGCCAAAGGGGGCACGTCTCCTCCATTTTCTCCAACACGTGGAAAGCTTTGGGCAAGTGGGGCTGATCAATTTTATTTTTTTTTAGAGTGAAATGATAGCAGTAAACAAGGGAAGAAAAATCTACTTCCCCTGCTCCACTTATTCAGGGGAAGAAGAAAGGTTACAATAAATCTTCCTCCCCTGCTTCGATCGTTCATGAGAAGGAAAAAAAGGTTATAGTGCCATTCAAAATGGCACCGATTTGGGCTTTTTTTTTTAACAATGTATGAAATGACGCTAAACTTATGTCAAAGTCCAAATTAGTCTTCAATTTGTAATTTCTTCGATCAAGTCCTAATTAAAATTTTGATTTAAAATTCAATGCAATTGCATCCCTTCCAAAAATTAAATAGCGGCCTTGAAGTTGGCCGCCCTTTTCACTTTGGTCTGATCTTGAATTTATGTAATTTGACTATTAATTGATTAATAAACTTCTAATTTTTTTAATTTGGCCTCTGATTTGGTTTAATTACAGCCCCTCTATTTACGTGCATTTTTCATTTTGGTCCTTGATTTTAAATATCTTCAATTAAGGCCCTAATAAACCATCAAACATCAATTTTTTTTACTTAAGCCCCTGATTTGATAAAATTAACTCTTGAAAATTATAATTTGACTTTAAAGCTTTAATTTTTTCCAATTAAAGCCCAAATTGAATTCAAAATTAATTTTTCTTGCAATCAAACCCCCCATAAATTTAATTAAACCTTCAATAACATTTAATTGAGTCCATAAACATCTTATTTTAGATTTTTCTTTCTTAAATTGAATTTTTTTTGTCGATTGGGCTCTCAACAGTCAATGATATATTGTCAAATTTCAATTCTTGTATTTTTAAACTTCGTCAACCAATTTTAGTCTTTTTCATGTCAATTTGGCGTCCTTTTTTCACTGTTATTATTTTTTTCTTTTTTTGAACATCTATTTTTTGATTTTTTTAGTATTTTCTCTTTTTTTTTTATACGAGGACCTAAAAATGGGTTACAACATGTAACACCCCACCTCACTAGCAAAATACTGTCCATTTTAGGCCTTCCAATCCACTCAAATCTAAGGCTTCCACCCAGGTTCCCCTCATAGTTTTGTTCTTGATAGCAACACATAGCCTCAAAACATATCTTACTAATCAAGGTAAGCATGCACTTATAAGGCCTTGGTTCTGGATGCTCGCTTTTGATATGGGATCATACAATTTCCCTACCTTAAGATGAGCCGTCCTCAGCTTTGATCCCAAATATATCACCACACCTCACTAGCAAGATATTGTCTACTTTGGGCATTCCAGTTCACCCAAATCCAGGGCTTCCACCCAAGTCCCCCTCATGGTTTTGTTATTGACAGCCATGCATGACCCCAAAATACATTTTACTAATCAAGGTGACCATGCACTTATAAGGTCCTAGCTCTAGATGCTCGCTTTCGATATGGGATCTTACACAACACCTCTTGATAAGGTGTTGTGTTGGAAAGGTTTTTTTATTTAATCATAAAATTATACTTAATATTCAAGAGTTGTCACTTGATATTATGGTCACTTGGAACCTAAAGTCTGTGAAACTCTTGCTAAGAGAATGGTTATGTAAGGGAAACATGCATCACCCCTTCTGCACCTTATTTAAGGTAAGATGCGTTGTTGTTTAATTGTCTTTCTAAGTTGGGTTTCTATTTATTGCTATTTTCTAAGGTGTAAGGCAGATCTTCCTTTGTGAGAGAGTGTTTACATCATCTAGTTTAATCGTAACTGTTCTAAAGTCTAAATTTAACATCGTATTTATTAATACCTAAAAGTGTACTTTATTATATAATTTTACACCTTACAGATATTAAAAGTCTACATCTAGACCCTAAAAAAATTGGAAAAAGGTTTTTAATATTTTGACAAAACCCTAATGGATAAGCATAAACTAGTTATAATATTAATTTTTATTGGATTTTCAAAACATAAGAAAGATGCAATTTTTTATGAAAATATGCTTAGAAATTTTTTAGAATTTGGTCATATATATGAAAATAAATTTTTTAATTTTTATTAAAAGGGAAATTAATTTAAAATTTTTTGGATTTTTTTTGAAATATTTTAGAGGAAACTGGGTATTTTAATATCGGATCTATATCTTACAATCTAATTATACAAACCCGCTATTATGCTAAATTGATGGAAAAGCATGCGAGAAAATCATAATTTTTTAATTTTTTTTAAAATCTTTAATTTTTTAAATTTTTTTAATATTTAATATCACAATATTATATTTAATATGTGTGTGTGTGTGTGTGTGTGTGTGTGTCTATATATATATATATATAATTAAATATTATTAATGCATATGGGTTAGGCTAGCCAATCTGACTGGGTTGAGCTGATCTCAGCCTAGAAGAGTCTGGGCCGAGACTAGCCTTGACAAGATTTGGAGGGCTAAGGATGAACCCACATAGATTGGGCCACAACTCGGCCCTGAAGGATGCTAAGGCTGAGATCAAACCTATATGTAGTGGGTCGTGACTCAACCCTAAAGGATGCTTAATAAATTGGGTCGCGATGGACCCATATGAAGTGGTCTACGACTCGCCTAAAAACAATATTGTTCTTAAAACATACTATTTTTTACAAGGT